AAAAATGCAAGAATGTCTAGTACAATATGAAGTTAAAGAATATGCACTTTAAGAAGTTCTTAGAATCCTTGAGTTTGTTACAGTTGAACCTGAGACCATAGCTGTTTAGTCGATGTCTTGTATTCTTAATAGCAGTGAAATTTTCAGAATCATCGAGTGCTTAGTGAATGAATTTATCTCTCATTTGTTTTATTGAAGTTATTAGCTTTTGAGATAATGATGAAAAGGAAACAGTAAGAGGGAAAGCTGGAGACAGAGTCTTCCAGTCCTTGCTGTTATAAATCTATTTTATTTTCTTCTCTCTCTGCTAAGCAGCCATTGAAATATGGTTCACTTATATATTCCTGAGTCTGGCTCTACCATCCTTCCAAGCTGGATAGTTGCAAGCAACACTTTCATGTCTAATATATCTTTTCTTACTAGTGTAAATTAGAACAGGAAATATGAGTTTCTTGACACCTGGCTTATTTAATTGATTTCTATATCTTTTTTAAAAAAGGCAGTTTCATTTCAAATGATTTTGGTTATTCCAAATTGATTTCCTCATTCTGTGGTCAAATGATCACTGCCCTTTTTAAACCATTTTAGTCCATGAAAGTCTGAGGTCTTAAAATGAGGTCTTAAAATTTGAAGTTGAAAATCAAAAGTTCATTTTTACCATTACCATGGCAGGTCTGTTTGTATACAGATTAAACGCAATGGTACATCCAGGAAAGGAAGGACACCCAGTGGTACGGCTTCCTGGATGACTGAAAGCATAAGGGATTAAAATGAAACAGAAAAGGAGGCTTAGAGTAAATGCCAAATTCAGAATATGGTAGGAAATTAAACTGAATACTCCAAGTATAGAGGAGGAATGTGAAAGGAAATAAGGAGACAAAACAAACATGGGACAAAGATTAGCAGGCAACATAAACAAACACCAAGTTCTTCTACAAAGATAGAAATAGTAAAAGGTTAGTCAAAGGAAAGATGGGATTGATTGGGTGCAAAAAGGAGATCTTCTTTTGGAGGTAGAGGGCATGACAGAGATACTAAATGAATGATTTGCATCTGTCCTCACTAGAAATGAGGATGATACTAATGCCACATTAAAGGAGAAGGGAGTGCATAAATTAGTCAGAGCAAAACATAGCTACTTACAAAGTTGGCAGTAATCAATATTTAAAGTTGTCCTGATGCAGCCTGGGTTACTAAGGAAAGTAAAGGTGAAATAATAAAGATTCAGGGTTACATTTCATCCATCTTGCTTAGATATGGGAATGGGTCCAGAGGACTAGATGTTGGTAGAAGATACTTTGCTTTTCAACCAAAAAAAGAGTGAGAGATATCTACAAGAGCCTGATCAGCTTATGCTAGTGGAGGAAAATAGTTTCAGATGATAGTATGGAACAAATTTAATTAGCATTTAGAATCTATAGATACATAAATGAAAGCCAGCATGGGTTTATAAAAGGCAACTAGACTGAGCTTTTTAGTGAAATAATGGAAATGCTTCAGGTAGTGTAGTTGATATTGTTTATTCAGGCTTTGAAAAATAGCACATGATAATCATTAGCAAAATTGAAGCCCGTAAGAATAAAAGAGTGCTGCTGTGAGGTTACAAAATTGCAGAGAAACTGGGTACTTTCAGGTTGGAGGGAATGTGTAGTATGTTATTCAGAGGTTGGTGTTGGGATCACTACCACTTGATTCTTTATTAGTGAACTGAATTTCGGTATACAGGACATAACTTTAAAACTTGCAGATATCTGAAATGCAGTAAACAGTGCAGGATAATATAGACTTAATAAGGACATAGCTTGGTGAACTGGGAAGAATGTATGACTGATGTTTATTCTTACTCATTCACAGGATTTGGGTGTTGTTAACTAGGCCAGGATTTATTGCTCATCCCTAATTGACCTGGAGAAAGTGGTGGTAAGCCACTTTCTTGTACTGCTATAATCTATGTGGCATAGGTATGTGCACAATGTTGTTGGGAAGGAGGTTTCAGGATTTTGATCCAGCAACAGTGAAAGAACAACGTTTTATTTCCAAGTCAGGAGGGGAACTAGCAGGTTATAGTGTTCCCATGCATGTGCTGTTCTTGTCCTTCTAGGTGGTAGTTGAGTTTGGAAGATGCCATCAAAGGAACCTTGGTGAATTACACACTGCTGTAAAATTCCTAGCTTCTGAATTTCTCTTGTCATCACAGTATTTATGTGAATAGTGATGAATTGTGCTGAATGTTGTGCAAACATCTAGAAATATTCCCACTTCAGGCCTTATGATAGGGTGAAGGGAACCGATGAAGTAGCTGAAAATTGTTGACCTAGGGCACTACACTGTGGAAATCCTCTACTAATGTCCTCTGACTGAAGTGATTGACCTTCAACAATACAATTACCTTCCTTTATGCTAGCTATGACTCCAATAAGTGGAAAGTCTTTTTTTCATGTGTGATTTGATGCCACAGAATGAGTTTGGCTTCATGACAGACTGCTCAAGGAGAAGACAAAGTAAAAAAAAAAGTGTCTTCAAGCTTTGGCTTTATAGTAATTTATTTATTATACATCATTGCTAATCTTTACATTGAAACCATTGCTATCAGGCTCTGATCGTACAGTTACATTAGGTAAGGACTAATTTAGCTTTGGTCATGTGCTTTCTCAATATTTCCAGTCTAGATTATTCTTACAGTGCTATTCATACTTAATGATGTGCAGCTCCATGGCTTCATCACATGGTTCCTCCAGGACCCTGAAGTGCTAACACTACAGCTTTCACCTTAAATCTCATTGACTGCAGTTTTGTGAGGGATCCTTGATGCCAAATGCTGACTTGATATCAAGGGTAGTCACTGTCACCTCACCTCTGGGGTTCCGCATTTTGTCATTGTTTGCACCAAGGCCGTGATGAGATCAGTAGCTCAATGGTGCTGGCGAAACCCAAACAGTGCATTAGTAGGCATGTTGTTCCTTCGCAAGTACCTCTTGGTGACACTGTGTCTGATCCATTGCATCATTCTGCTGATGAATGAGAGTACATGAATGGGGTAATACTTGGCCGAGTTGGATGTGTCCTACTTTTTCATAAAGATGGTAGGACAAGTGATGAGAAGCAATATAAACTAAATAGTATAGCATCTGAAGAACTTGAAGACATGAGGTTATGTATAAAAAAGCCTCTGAACGTTTTGAAAACAGGTTGATGTAGTAATTGTACCAATGTCAGCCAGCTACACCTTACTGAAAATGAGTTCGCTGATTGGGGCTGTTACCCTTGTCCAAGCATGGAGCATTAGCTGACATATAAAAAGACTGAGTGAGAGAGATACTGAAGCCCTGACTCTGTATGAGGCTGTACTATTGTTCATGTGTAGATAAAAGGTGACTTGGTGATGGGGTACCAGCCTCTGTGGAGTTATTTCAGTTGAAAAGGCAGTTAAAAAGGCATGTGGTAGGGCATAGTTTAGGACATCCTTTCTTTATTTCTATAGGTGTAGAATGCAAAAACAAAAATGTTATGTTAAGCGTTTGTAATATACAGATCAGGCCTCAGCTGGAGTACTGTGAACAATCCTGAGCACCAACTTTTTTGGAAGGATGGAAAGACCCTGGAGACAATGCACAAGAGATTTTGCTAGGATGGTAATATGAAGGAAAGTCTTAATTTACGGAGAAAGTAGAGAAACTGGGCTGCTCTCTTGGTGGAGAAATTCAATGGTAAATTTCATCGAGATACTCAAAATTATGAACGGTTTTGAAAGAGTAAACAAGGAGAAATTGTTTCTGGTGACAGAAGGATCTGTAACCAGAGGGCATAGATTTAAAATAACTGGCAAAACAACTAGAGGTGACATGTGGGGAAGAAAAATGATACAATGAGTCCTTGTGATCTGAAATTCATTGCCTGAAAGACTGCTGGCAGATTCAATAATAACTTTGAAAAGGGAATTAGACATGAACAAATTTGAAGAATTATGGAGAAAGAACAGGAAAGTGAGATGAATTGAGTATCGTTGTTTGGTTTCCGGGGTATGGGGATGGTTTGACAGCACAAAATTGGTATAAATTGACAATCTCAACTAGAAAAGTCACAATGTTAAATGTGGGGAATAGAAATATGTTGTAGAAGTGTGGAACAGAGTGAAGATGGCATTGAGAAAGTCAGTACTAATGAATTCTGTTATGAGCAGAGGAGATTTTGATCCATATCCAAGTCTCAGAATTGCAAAGGCAGTCTCGTAACCAAAGTGTTACACAATTTCCTCCTATCCCCTTCCCCAACCACCAATTATCAACAGACCTGTACAGACTCCAGTAGTGCGTATCACTATTCTTCTATAAAGTTTCTTTTGTTATGACTTAAAATTTTCCTGCACAAGTCAGACAGCTTCACACAGTGTTTATGGAATGCCTGGCCTAACATGGTTTTGAAAATAAGAGTTCATTGAGTCCACAGGGGCACTTCAGTGAAAATAAATGAGGGTCACTGGAAAGGTCATTGCCATCAGCATTAAGATACTCAAGTTTTATAATTAAACAGAACAATGAATAAGATCAAAACTGGAACTGGAAACAATATAATTTTGGCTTAAGTTAGCAAATGCCGTCTTGTAAGTGTTGGCATAACTTGAGAAATCATTCTAGAAATGATAAAGAATGATCTGAATCTACCAGACCCGATTTACATGTTATGCTTTTTGTCTCAAGGTTCTCTCAGTTTCATGCAGCAATCCCTCATGAGGCCTCATTCTTTACAGCCAGCCATAAGAAGGCCTAGATATTGCTTATGTTTGCCTCTGCATTGCAAAAAGTCATTTTCCATTAAAAATTATATCCATTTGTCTACACCTTGACTGGAAGAAGAAACTCATAATTTGTACAGTTGCAGAAAAGAATATATGTTTATGTTATAGTAGAGTTTAGACTACTTTTTAAGATTTTTGTCGGTTTTCTTTTCTTTGGAGAAGCTTCTAATCAATTTGTGTATCACGAATCACCAGGACAAAAGTATAAAATAATAGATTTTGTTTCTTTATTGTCATCTTTATTTATCTGTTTATATATTAAAAATTGCAGCACTACAGAGAGCTTTCTTTATTGACACTTAAGCTTCAGAACATTTTAATCTTAAAGCACTTTTAACAAAATAGGGTTGGAGGGTTTGAGCTATAGGGAGAGGCTGAATAAGCTGGGTTTTTTCCCCCTGGAGCTTCGGAGGGGTGACCTTATAGAGATTTATAAAATAATGAGGGGTGTGAAAAGGGTGAATAGCCAAGGTCTTTTTCCCAGAGTAGGGGAGTCCAAAACTAGAGGGCATAGGTTTAAGGTCAAAGGGGAAAGATTTAAAAAGGACTTAAGGGGCAAATTCTTCATGCAGAGGGTGGTGCGTGTATGGAATGAGCTGCCAGAGGAAGTGGTGGAGACTGGTACAATTACATCATTTAAGAGGTATCTGGATGGGTACATGAATAGGAAGGGTTTAGAGAGATATGGGCCAAACACTGGCAAATTGGACTAGATTAATTTAGGATATCTGGTCGGCATGGACGAGTGGGACCGAAGGATCTGTTTCCGTGCTGTACAACTCTATGACTCTATGGCAATACTTGGTGGTTCCATTGAGATTTCCATAGACTTTCTGTATCTCCATCAGAAATGTGTCAGTAATCCCATTTTACATTTGCAACCAGGCTTTTTGCTGCACCATCCAGCAAAGTCACACCAGCAAAAATGCCATAAAGTCCCCCGCTCAAAAATCAGGGCCTCAGGGCAGTATGAAATACTGGTGCAGCAGCAGCTTCAACACCAGAAATATATTAGGCAAAAATTGTGATATTTTCAAATGTTGAAAGATAAATTCAAGATTGGTAATTATTTTCTCAGACCAGATCTGGTTTGTCTTGGTGAAAGGAGAGATTGTCAATTATTCTTGTGCTATTCCTCACATGCAGGTATTTGGTGTCCTTCTGATATATTTGTCTGGAGTGCCCCATTGCCAGCTCCCTCTCCATCTCCACCTCTAGATTCTGGCTGTGTGACACTGTGTACAAAGGGCAGAGGTCAGTGAAGGCACAAACTGTATATCAGTCAAATTGAGCTATATCTGGACACGGGAGATTGTTCACGAGAGATGTGTAATTATTTCAGTCATGAAAGAATGAAGACACTATAGCATGCCATGGCTTTTATTGCATTGAAACAGTAAAACACAAGACTGCTGTTCTTGCACTAAAGACATCTGAAAACGAACATGTTTAGTGTGATCTGTTGGAGACTAAATTCCTTTAAACCCAAACATTTACTTTAAAACTCCACCCCTAATGCCAAATGATAAACATTTCTTCCTTGTGTTTATCAGTATTTGATTGATTGCTGGCAGTTCAGAGTGGGTTTTGGGTTTCACACGACAAGTATTCTGAGTTAATTCATCCAAGGGAATAGCAATACACAAAAAAAGACTTTTTTTTAGTCTGTCTGTTAGGGCGCATCTTGACATGTTTCCTGTTGAAAGGATGATGTCCAAGATTTTCATATTTTCTAATATTGCAATGTCAGCTCATTAGGGCAACTAGAAAGATCAATCTGTAAGGTATGATGCTACCTGTTAAAAAGATGTTAGAGAGACAACTGGAAAAACAGCTGATCCAGATTAAGATGAAAGGTCTTGATTTTACTGGATTGATTTTAGTCAGTTTAACTCAAATAGTGCTGATTGTGTGACAGCCCAGTAATAAGAATACAGTGAGGATCTGATAAATTTAACTGCTGAGTATCATTTTAATGTTACAGACCTGGCTCCTGTGGGTAGTTTAAAGGAGTGATGTGAAGGCCCATGGTCCTGAATGGCAACTGCTTTGGGAGTAGCATTAATGGAAAGTCAAGGGCATGGTACTTGGGAAAAAGGTAAAGTGTGTTTGGATGTGGGCTTTGCAGAGCTGATGCTGGTCAGAGGAGGGAGAGAAAATCTGGCTATGGTATTGTTCAACGCTTTAAACAAAACATCTTGACAGGGAATTTGCCAACAGCTTTCTGTGGTGGTAAACAATAGCAATAATGACAACAATATAAATCTTGTACATTAGTTATGGAAAGTTATTGTGCAGTCAGAAGTGAACTTGAATGGTTACTGAGAGTGAAACTGAGCAGAAGGAGGTGAACTCTGCATGAAAGAGACACCATAAGCCACATATAAATAGCTACAGAACAGCAAACATTTTATTATTTAATACACATGATAGGAATGTGAACACTGAATTTGAAGCCCAAAGAATGTTTACCTTGACAGCCCAGTCAGACATTCTATTTGTTCAATGCCTGTCCTCCAATACATGGACAAGTGATTCAGCTACCTCCTTTTATTCCACCTTGGTGAATATTTGGAAGTTCTTGTCTTTACATTCCCCTGAATCCGGTAATGACTCTACTGCCCTTCATTGAAGAAGGTATGTTAGTCCTTGCTCCCCTAAATTGGATGACCTTTTTCTTTGTTCTACTTGCAACATTTTTGTGGAAAAGCAAATCTGTAGACACAGGATTATTTTCTATTCCTTTAATGTAGATTCTTTATCAAACAGAAATTAATTTTTAAATGTCAATTTGAAATGGTTATCAAAATTGCAGCTCATTTACCCCCTAGTGCCATGATTCAATGTGAGTCCTTAACTGAACTTTCCCACTACTCAACAATGGCTTCCCTGCAGTACAGAAATATTGCACTGTTAAGAATGTCAGTTTAAAGATGCCATTTTGGGCATTTAGAATGTTCCCAAGTCAGGACAAGAGGTAGGATGGCTTTCTCAATTGCCTCCCCATTAAGTCCAATTCAAAAGCTCATTAAGAGCTTGTTGATGGAGGAGGAGGGGGATGAGAAGGATGGAATGTTAAAGTGTGCATGTGAGTTTCAGGAGCTCTCCGCTTCTAATCAGCGAAAGGCAGGCCAATACAGAGTGGGGAGCCGGCCATTACAACTCTCCAGAGTGAAACCTTATCTCCATCAGAGGGGATAAGCGGTCTTAGAATTTGACAGCAAGTATTAGGGCGAGTGGGCACTTAGTGCTCTGATAATGAACATTAACTATCTGTAATAAACAAAACTCCAGTTGTGCTGGCCCTCAAAATCATAATGGCCTTCAATGTCTTTGCACCTACCTCCTTCCATGGAGTAGCAGTGGATCTTGGTGGCAAACACTGCACACCACTGCAATCTTGCTGGCCACTGATGATTTCTTCATTAAAACTGGAAGCAAAATGTCATGGGAGAGTTGGGTATGGGCTACTCCTTAGTTCATTAGTCTGACCGTGCTTTAGTGTTCCAGCTGTGAACTAGAGGATGGAGATCTTCTTACCTAGCGGGTAAGACAGGAAAAGTAGTATGTGTGTTGAAGGACATAATGAGATCTTCCCTGGTAAAGGCAAAGTCCCTGGAAAAATATCCTTTTCTCATTTGTGAAAAATGATATGTGCTCCAGGTTGTATGATCCATACTTATGTCAGCGTAAATATCTCAGACTCCTTTCCATGTCATGCCTCTCCATATGAGCTCAGGCATAATCATCAGCCTCAGTGATGGTTACCACAGGGTGTCAAATGAGTCTGATGTTATCTGATTGGCTTCTGTTCCTGCTGGCTCTATTTGGATAGGAAAGCAAATTTCATACACATTCTGGTCTCAGTCTGTGAAAACCTTCTGTTAGTTCCAACCAGAAGCAGACCAGGTTCTTGTTTTCTGCTCCTCATGTCTGTTGTCACTTATTTAGAGAACTATGGTGATGTTGTGAAGGGTTAGAACACTGGCTGTGTAATCCACAAAGATGATGGGTTGTCATTGTCCTTGTTATCCTTTAATGGATCAACATTTCAGTAATTAGCATGATACGACTGGGAAGGGAAGGTGTCTAATTAACTTTGTTCACTATTAAAAGTGTTACTGCAGCAAACTCAGGCTTAATACTTGCCTTGTCATAATAACTTTTAGATTGAAATGTTTCAAAATGGTTTACATATTAAATTCATCATTATAATGTTATGGACCAGACCAAATCCCTTCAAAATATATTAAGAAGATAGCGTAGACCCAACTTTTTCTTATTTTTAAAGACAAGTGTAAAGTACATGTCCCAGATGCAATTCAATTGGTCTAACTGCCAGGCTTGAAGAAAAACACAATTTATTTTCACACTATAGTTAAAATACAGACAAAATAAAGTTTTAAAAAATTAACTAACCTATCAAAATACTTAACAAGAATATATGTTAACTAAAATGTGGGAACAAATTACTAAAGATGCTGGAATCTGTGCTGAAAACAACAAATGCTGGAGATTACAACAGGTCAGACAGTATCCATGGAGAGAGAGCAAGCTAACGTTTCAGCTCTCGATGACTCTTCAGCTCTGATGAAGAGTCATCTAGACTCGAAAATTCTGGTTCTGTTGGAGTTTGACCCTATCCCTTCATGCTGCTTCTAATGTTCCAACGTTTTTTAAAAAAAAAAAGCCAAGGCCTCACAATGGTTTATTTTATTGGATTTGGACAGACAGCTCAACACCTTTGTCTCAAATTCGCTTCATAGAAAAAGGAAAAAAAAAATCACTTCTTAAAGTCATAGTATCATCACAGTAAGCTAAGTAACCATTTTTAAAATTCATAGGATGGGGGCATTGTTGGTTAGGCTAGCATTTATTGCTTATCCCTAATTGCCCAGAGAGCAGCTAAGAGTTATAGCTATAGGCTCATGTCGGTCGATCAGATAAGGAAGGCAAATTTCCTTTCCTAAAGGACCTTAGTGGACCAGATTATTTTTTGAATGACAATCAACAACAGCTACATGGTTGCCATTAGGCTAGCTTTTTAAATTTCAGGCTTTTTAAATTGAATTCAAATTTCACCATCTGCCATGTTGGGATTCAAACCAATGAGCTTGGAGTTCTGGATTACTAGCCCAATGACATCACCACTCCACAAACCTCCCCCCACCTCATCACCACCACCAGACCCATCCCCCAGCCTTGTTATGTAGACTTTAACACTTCAGCCACTTATGTTAACAAAACATTTTTAAAAATCTTAAAATAAATAGCCAATCCATTTATAGATTGTACTGATTAAGGTTAAATATTCACTGGGATATTTTGAGAAAATCTTGTTTTCCTTTAATTTGCATTACAGAATCACTTTCGATCTTTAACATTTCTAACTGAAGGAACAGCAGCTTCAAAATGAAGTACTGTACGCTCATAGTATTGCAGTGAAATTTCATTGTACGTCGTCATCTACACAAAATCTTATGTGAGATTTCAATCCACAGCATTCTGACTCCAAATGTAAATTCTCACAAACTGAGCCACAAGTTACTGATGTAGACCCTACCATAAGGTTGTTCATGCAGCTATTTTGACTCATAATCAAAACAAAATATGTTTTGTCCTGCTTCTGTTCATACAGTTATTTCATCCTGATCACTGAACACAAGAATTTCCATTTATTATCAAAGTCCTGCCATCTTAATGGTACTGTTTCAAAGTCAGCTTGATTATAGTAAGGTCCAAATGGATGTTTTATTCTAAATTTATGAAACTGGTCTGAAATTGTCAAATAAACTTTTGGAAAAGGATCAAGTATTATTTATCTTTAAATACATCATAACCAACACTTGTATTTTAACATTTAATGTTTGAATGTTTTTGAATGTTAAAAGAATAGTTCAAAATGATAGATGCAGGACTATAGCTGGTAAGATATTTATATAATCAATATTTTATCGAGTTTGGACTTTTCAATAATCTCAGTGAATGCTAATAATATTGCAAATAAAAACTGTTTTGTTGTCAGTTAGTTTATCCTTACTTCCTTCAATTTTGGGATATTAGTTTTGATATACTAGTCAGCATTTCCTAAATTATTGTTTTGTCAAAATATAGAAGTGCCGATAGTGCTGATTTTCACACAGGGTGAGCCCTTAATTGGTGTGGAGACAGGTTTCCTGTCCAAATAGAGTTAGTGAGATCAGCAATTACTATAGATTAGCTTTTATTGTCACATGTACCAAACTACAAGAGTGCTGGAGTACAGTGCAAAGTTTTACAGAGTCACCATTCTCGGTGCCATCTTAGAATACAATAGTTAGAATTAAAAATGAGCAGAAAGTACAGACACAGAAACAAAAGGAAAAGACAATGTCCAGATCATCCTCGTCACTGCTGCCGTGAATCTTGAGCCAGACTCACCAATGCCACTTGTGCTGGATACACCAATGCTGTGGTGCCACCACCACCAATGCAAACGCTGCTTCACTGATGCCACTGCCTGGAGTCCAGCATCTCACCGCCGTGTGCACCAGACCCACCAATGTCGAAGTCGCCATGCTATGACATCATCACTTGCCACAGGACCTATCTGTCGATGCTGTCACCATCTTGGAATCAATTGAAGTATCAGATTCCACAGCCTTCCTGAACAAATGCAAGAGTGTAACCCTTTGAACCAGCGCTGACATCAGAGCCACTGCCGATGCCAGTCTCAAGTCCTATGCTGAGCCCGTCAACGTCACATTTGTCAGGCTTCGCTGACATCTCTTGTTCCTGGGCCCACATTTGTCACCATTTCTGCTGCAGCTGAGTTCAACAAGAGCAAAAGGTAAAAGACAACTGTAGAGAAAATAAAAGTAGAAAGAAAAGAATAAAAGAAATAGATGGAAGAAAGCCCGAATGTTGCTATTCCACTTCCACCATCTTGGAGTGAAATGGTTGCAATGATTACATATTAATGCTGCGTTTGTCTATAGTTTGGAAGCTAAAGTTAATTTTTCTCATTTATGAATTGTGCAAATGTGCTTTGGGAGATTTTTGAACAGATGAGTTTCTAGTAAATAGTAAACTCAGTGAAAACTTGAATATAGGCCTTTCCGTTTAATCTGTTCTTCAACCAGCTGTGCTCTTCCTTGATAAAACCTGTCTGGATCTATCTTTATTTTGAGTCAAATTAAACTAAAAATAGAAAACTGCTGAAGATTTACCTAAACTGTAATATGATTGATTCTCTGGTAACTAATCTCACTCTCTTCTGAGACAATATTTGCTGTGGTGCTAGAACAAAAGCACAGACAGTAGTAGGAATTAATTATGTGTTTTCTCTGAGTTCCTTCTTGAGGACATTAGTCATGTTAGTTGCAATAGTGTCCATCCTAGCTGTCTTTTGCCCTACCCTTTAAAAAAGCCATGGTTTGTTCACCAAAGACGTGTCAGGCCCATTTCTTTAAAGTCAGCCGATTTACTCCTTGGAAAATAGCCCTTTGCCCTGAACTAAACAACACTGGCCCACATGCTTTGTGAAATGTGGTTGTCTGTATATCGAAGAAGAGAGGGGTTTGTTCCATTGAACTTCTGGCAAGATTACATTCCCAACAAAACTTGTAACTTCAGCAGAATTTCAAATAAGGAACGTTTGCCCTTCATCTAAGTCCCAGTAAGTCATTCTTTCTAGTCAGAGTGTGCCCCCTTGTAACGTGAGCAAGGCACCATGCTGGACCTAACCATTGATGCTTAAATGGAAGCAATTTTTTGGGAATTTAGGAATCTGGGTAATGTATTACAGTTGCAACTGCAACTTGTAATTGCTGAAACATTAACTCTGATTTTTCTCAACAGATGCTGTCAGAGTTAGTTAATGTTTCAGGTTGAGTGAACCTTCCTCAGAAAGGACACTTGACCTGAAACGTTAACTTTGATTTCTCTCCACAGATGCTGCCAGACCTACTGAGCTTTCCAGCAAACTCTATTTTTGTCTCAACTTCCTTTAAAAGATCTTTAAAAGTGGTGTTGACTAATGTAACATGTTTCATGATCAGATATTCATGATTGCAATCATTTATGGTAGTTGTTCAAGTTCCATTTATATAGAGTGGGTGGCCATCTCATTCATACCCTGGCTGGATTGGTTTAAGAGGGAGGTTGAAACCAGAGACGTCTGTTATTGGGTCATTGATGAGATGTTGGTTTATTATCTTCCATTTATACTACAATTCTGTCCATATGATAGCGACTTGATGGTTGCATGAGTATTAGCTGCTATGTTCCACAATGGTGAGTGATTTATAAAAAACTTTCTTTGTGGGTTTTTAACTCTTTTTGAAAAGGAAGCTTGATGATGCTTATGACATTTTTCATCTCAGGGAACAGGCTAGCGCTGTGGCAAATGACAGCTGGGACAACGCTGGGAATGATATAGTTAGAATAAACTTAGGTTTCCCTGGCATTGTCCTCATGGTGACATTTTGAGTCATTTCCGTGACCTTCATGTGGTTGCTGTCAGCGGTATTTTGCAGCAGGGTAAACTTGGGCCATTGTTAAGATACAAAGGGTAAGGACATAGACTTACAAATTAGGAACAGCATTAGGCCACTTGAACCTGCTCTTACATTTAATAAGATTATGGATGATCTGATTATTCCATATTCCTACTACCTCCAATAACCATTCACCACTTTGCTTATCCAGAATCTACCTGTCTCTGCTTTAAAAATACTCATAGGCTCCATTTCCAATGCCTCTGCGTTCAAGTCCTTTTCCATGTGATAGACGATTTTGCACTCAAGTTGGTCACTTTAACCTGTCAGAAAACTGCCAATATCTATACAGTGCTGACCGCACACTCTACCAGATTTTACTCCCCTTTAAAGTCAATGTAGAGTAACATTGCGAATGGTACAGAACTGTTGAACTTCCCAATCTTTTGGGATTTCTGACCAGTGAATTAGGTTAAAATTGACCCTTGTGACGTCTAGAATAAGAACAAAGTTAACTGACATAAAGCGTATTTATGCTTTCTCAGTAAATACCTTGGATCTTAAAGTCTATGAATATGCTAACACTGGTAATGTGAGCTTCTGGTAAAATAAAATGTAGCCTCAGGGACTGAGTCTAAAATAAAGAAGCCTCTGTAGTTTCTAACCAGAGTAGGGTGTGCTCAGATCTAATCTGGGATGAGTGAAAACTCAAGTAACTACATAGTAGTAGGTAGCTAGAGCTAGGTTTCTCCACCACCATCCCCCTACCACCACTTTCATTAGCTCAATCATTATTTCAAATTTGTTTAAAATTTAATACAGACAATTTAGCTTTGTTCTGCATAGTGATATAATTACTGTATTGTTTCAGGGCATGCTTGAAAAAATACATGGCAGCAGAACTTGTTTCTTCTGAACTTTCTTTTCCTCTCTAAAGCGGGTTAGTGCAACAGTATGAATATTTGAGCTGCTCGACATGGACACATGGCTGCTGGGCAGAGAGAATGTTTCATACTAAAAGATAATTTGACTGTGGTATCTAATTAACAATAGAGATTCAATTTAAAAAAAATCTTAGGATGTGTGCATTACTAATAAGGCTGGCATATACTGCACATCTCAAGTTATCCTTGATATTTGCAAACTAACTGGTCCACTGCAATCTGCATTCATGGGTGAAGGTGTTAGGTAGGGAGTTCTGGGATTCTGACCCAGTGGTAATGTATGAATAGCAATATATGCATCTGTCTGCATGGTTTGTGACTTAGAGATGATGATATTCCTGTATACCAGCTGTGATTGTCCTTTCAGGTGGTGGATTGTCTGAGCTGGGGAAGAGCTACCAAAGAAGTCCATCTTGTAGATGGTCCACCCATGCAGTCATATTAGATTGATGTTTAATCCAGTACATTTTGTAGTTTATAATAATTAGTGTCTTTCCACTTGTTATGACCCCATCCATTTGACCAGGCTGTGAAATTGGTTGCCAATTGGGAGATAAACACACATTCCTCAATGAGGCCTTACCTTTTAAATCATCCATGTCTCCACATTCCTGATCTTGCTGACTGTAACCTAAGAGTTGCTGCAGTTAAAATGTTTTTATTTTGTAAGCCCTGAGTCTGTGATGCTGGAAAACCACAATTTTGAGAACTTGCCAGCTTCCTGCTCCTACGGAATCTATGCTAAATTGTTGACATGTTGTCAGTGAGCAGTAGGTTTTGCTGCAGAATATGTTTCTGCAGAAATAGGGTAAATTCTATTGTTAGTCAACAAATATGAGAGTTCAAGCTAATTCCTGTTTTCTCTCCAGTACTCATAAATCCTCAGCTTGTTCTTTGAAAATGGGCCTTAATGGGCAGTACAGTTCTTTTCTCTTAGGATAACATTCCTTAAAGATATTTCTGAATTCAATTCCGAAAATGTCATAATGGACTCAAATGGTGTCTCTGTTTCTCTTTCCACAGATGGTCCAGACCTGTTGAGTTTTTCCAGTACTTCCTATTTTTATTTCAGATTCCAGTGTTTACAATAGTTTGCTTTTATTCCTTTTAAAGGTATATTGCTTATTTATTTTTAAACACCTTCATTGCAGATTATGATGAATACCATCTTTCATCACGAGGTGGTCTAAGTGATCTATAGATCTGACTATATTGATTGTTCAAGGGGATGAGAGAGGAATTGTCCAGTGTCAATAGATGTGAAGCTGGAAAAGCACAGCAGGTCAGACAGCATCCAAGGAGCACAAAAGTCCATGTTTCAGGCTGAAACCCTTTGTTAGGACTTGGGAGGGGTGGGGAGCCCAGAATTAAATAGAGGGATTGGTTGGGGCTGGAGGAAGGGTAGATGGGATGATGATAGGTGGATGCAGATAAGGGGTTATTGTGATTGGTCAGTGGGAAGGATGGAGTGGATAGGTGAGTAGGAAGATGGACAGGTTTGGTCCGGTCAGGGAGGTGAGGAGGAGTGGGAGGGCCGGACATGGGATAAGGCTGGGGATGGAGGGACTTTGAAGCTGGTGAAGTCAATATTGAAGCCATTGGGCTATAAGCTCAAAAAGTGAAATGTCAGGTGTTGTTTCTCCAGTGTATTTTTTTCCTATAGGTCCTGGGTTTTTCTTCTTCTTGGCAGTTAGGGAATGACATTATCAATGAAGCTGGGTGCACTCTAGTCAGAATGCTCAAGTCATCATGCATATAGGCAAGTTTAGTAGTCTTGCTGGTCACTTCCTAGCTTTCAGTTTTTGTGTGCTTACAATTTAATATAACAGCAAACTACTAAGACCAAGGTTGTCATGAAGCATTGGAGACGGACTGGATGCAATAGCCAATAGTTGACCAACTGTAATTACAAGACATAAATGGCAATGATATCAGTACTGCTTCAGCAGACTGATCTCAGGGCAATTACACAACTATGTTACACTCTGCACACAGCTCCAACATGGAAACTGAACTGATCATGACACAAATTAGAGAAAATCCTCATGAATAGTTCCAGAGAAAAGGAACTTCATTTCCATAGATGGAGTGGAGAAGTTGGATCTATTCTCCTTGGGGAAGAATTGGAGAGGAGATTTGATGGCATTCAAATTGTGAGGCATTTGGATAGAGTAAATAGGGAAAAAACTGTTCCTGTGGCAGAAGTGGTAAGAACTAGAAGACACCAATTTAAAGGCAATGGCCACTTGAGAAAAAGGACTTTTAATGGAATGAATGCTTAGTATCTGGAAAGATCTACCCAATAGTGTAATGGAGGTAGATTCAATCAGAACGTTCAAAAAAAGAATAGAATAATTATGTGGAAGGAAATAAATTCCAGGGCTCTGGGAATACAACAGGAGAGTAAGACTGGTGGATTACTCTTCAAGAAGACCAGCAAAGACACAATAGGCTGAATAGTCTCCTTTTGTGCTGTAACCATTCTAACCTGTCCATCTTCCTACTCACCTGTCCGCTTCCCACTGACCAATCACAATAACCCCTTACCTGCATCCACCTATCACCATCCCACCTACCCTTCCCCCCCAACCCCTCCCTTTATTTATTTCTATGATAGTGACAATCAAGATCACCAGGAAATACCCCTATTTTGACCAAGATGCTATCCTTTAACGTATCAGACACATGGACAGTTCCTGCCATGTTCAACAACTCTGATAACTTCACTGCATTGAATGGCAACAACAGTACAACATGATTTGAAAGTAACAATAACATTCTGGCCACATCAGTGGATGTGTAATTGAGAGGAAAGTTCTAATAATCGAAGGATGTGAGTTCAGAATCCAATCATTAGGGAATTTAAAATCAATTAAATAAATCTGGAATGAAAAGTTAGGCCTAAATTTTTGGGACGGCTCTTTTTCTGGGTCTGCAAACCCAACTTGGGTATAAGTGCCTTATAATTGTGGATGTTTGTGCCTGGGGATGGATGGCTGTGAGAGGGAAGTACATGGCACACAGTTTGGAAAATGTTGGCTGCAGAGATGGGCTGACTGAAAGTCTGGCCTCGGGGTTCTGGCACTTTGTTGAATCTATATGAAAATGAATTTAAAAAAGCCTTCCAGCTCTCACCACATCACATCCCTTCAGGGTGCTGCCCCTTGCTCCCCCCCCAAAAAAAAACACTCCCTATGCAATCTCATGCCTCCACCAATTATTTGGTCTCTCATAGCCTTCATGCCAATCTATGGCCTTGCCTCTGCCTCTCATGGCCTGTTCTACTCCCAGCCCAATCTATGGCCCTCTCCTTACTCCCAATGGCCCCTCATATCATTCATGCACATAAATGTCACTCTACTAATTCCATCCTCAAGCCCCCTACATCTTTGTATGCCAATATATACCCCTCTATCCATCCCCAAGGCCCTTTATAGACCTTAACAGCAACCTAGTGCTGACACATGCCAGTCCATTCTTCCCACCCACCACTCTTTGTCCTTACACCCCCTCTCTTGCAACTCACCTTAGATCAACCTTAGATCCATGCTGAGACTAAATAAAGTTTTAAGTGTCAGGCATAAATCCACAATTTAAAGCAAATTTCAATGATTCAAAAAAGTTCACTATATTTAATTTCCTTTGCTACTTTATAAGTACAAGCATCTATATTCATTGTTCCACTTCAAAGATTTGACAAGCTCCTGGAGCAGTTAATTAAATTGCGAAGTGAAAATACCCCGCTGTGGCAATGATAGTTTGTGAAATTAGTCAAGCAATCCTGCAATGAAAGTCCTCTGTTTTATGATAACAGGCACAGTGAAATAGCAAGCACTGACTTTTTAAAAAAAAACACCGCAGACAATTTTATTTTCTTCAAACATAAAAGTGCTGGAGATTTGAATGTTTTGACAGCTTGACAGTTCTTGTAACATTTCTCTTGCTGTTTCTTTTGATAGCTCTGTTGATGATTCCAATTTGCATAATACTGCCAATACTTTTATGCATTTTTTGGCACATTGCTATCTTTGAGATTGATATTGATATTTTTCACATTACTAAGGACACTATGAGCTTTAATGTGGTAAAGCATTCTTTTTTATGTGACGGCTATTGAATGCCCTTTGAAAATTCAAATATGCTGCCTTCTAATAGTTTCCCTTTATCCATCTCAATTGTTAAATCTTGAAAAAACTCTTAAAAATTTATTAAACATGATTTTCCCTCACAATTTCTTGTGCTAAAATGCTATGGGCAGCAGTGCAAATGATGGGAGAACACCCAGGAGTTTAATGGAATCATCAAATAGAGAAGCGACGAAGACATATATGAGGGTTCAGCAGGTGATCCGAGGCTGACGTACAGTCAGAGTTATGTAGGTGGATATAAACAGTCGTAATGATGATATGACTATGTGTTTGAAAACCTATCTCAGGATCAAATATAATAAAAATAAATCAAAAAAAGCTCATTTATAACCACTTAGCTTAATGTCTGAGCTATCCTGTTTGCTGTTTCTTATAGCTCTTAAAAGGAGACTGCACTTCTTACAACACTGTTGTTTGCGCCTGGTCACCTAGCATCCTTGGCTTCTCAAGTTAATTAATAGTAAATTCAACTTCTTGCCTGAATAACATAAATCTGACTTTTATTGAATAGTAGTAGAAAACTTCAATCTTGATGTTAATTTACAACTGGCCAATGAAGCTGCAGGAACACAGCCCTGAAATATCTGCCTCCTGAGAATGCCATGTCTTTGGAGATACCAAAAAATTACAGCCAATCATGACATAATCGTAATAATGATCCTTTAATACTTCTTGAGCAGCTAACAAGCCACTTAAACACAATAACTGTCAGAAGTTCAGTAATCCAGCTGCTAAGTGGGCAATTTCTGTGGAAAATGACTTAACAACAATTGAGAAAACTCCACTGACAAGACCCTGCATTCTGTCACTGGCAATACTTTAACATCTTTATTCTGTTAAGTAGATTATCCAAGTTTGAACTGGAACAAAATACTTGCGTTTGAATTTAACTCTGCGGCTGAGGAAATCTGCACAAATCATTCATTAATTACGTTGAATAAGACAACATTCTTTATCATTTTGTTGCAAATGTTAACTTAAGGATGGTTTGAAGCTTAGAAGTTCTTCAGGCAACATATATTAGTAGTTCATTATTTCTTTTTATTGACATTACATCACTTCGCACTTACGTTTGCTGTTCCTCTTAAATTTCATGAGAGGCATATATAGCCTTCAGTATATGAGAAAGCAGCCTGAAAATTCTCTTCAATCAAAACCATCTGATCAGCACACTACTGTACATGTCTTATGAGGGTCAGTTGTGGAATTATTGCTCTGTTGGTAAAACCTGCAAATTGATGGCCATGTAGACCACATTGGCACAAATGGATCAATGTGTGGCAATTCCAAGCTATCGTGGTATAAATGTGGACAGTCATTGTAATAACTTGGACTTGGCTTTAGCTTTTAGGATCTGAAGAGAGGTTGACTTTATTTAAATCTATTGCTGGCTTTGATGTTGTTCATGTTACTTGCTGCTGCCCTGAATGGAAAGCAATATTCATTAGATCTTGGACAAAAACAGAAGTTGCTGGAAAAGCTCAGCAGGTCTGGCAGCATCTGTGAAGAAAAAAATCAGAGTTAACATTCCTCAG